CATATGATCCCTTGGATCAAACCCATGACTATTGCATTGCTAACACAAAGTTCTACCAATTGAGCTACAGGAACATGAAACCTGTGCAACTGTGAACTTTGCAACTGTGAACCTGTGAAAGTGAAGCCATGTGACTGAACCAATGTGACTGTGTGATTGTGATTTAAGTCCACAATGGGTGACAAACTCCCCAGTTTACATATAGATTCATAAGTATCAGAATCAGAAGAGCTTTATTACCAAGCATGTTTACACCCACAAGGAATTTGACTTGACAAGTGGAGCTTCCAGTGCAGAAGAAAGTACAGACACAGAGCTGACATACATAGGATTAACACAGTAGGGATGGAATATAACAGAACAAAAAAACAGAAATTACATAATGTACTATATACAAAAATAGAAGTGTAGGGAAAAAATTTAATTGTTTAGATAAATGTACAGATATGTTATTAGTGTGCAGATATGTTATTTACAGTTTAACATAAATATGTCAGATAACTATGAGATATGTTATTTACAAAGTGTGCAGTTTACAAGTGTAAAAATTTTGTATTCTGTGTATAAATATGTCGGTTGGGATGGACGATGTATAATTATGAAAGTTTAATTGTTCAGGCTGAATATAGCCTGCGGGAAAAAACTGTTTTTGAGCCTGGCTGTTCTGGTGGTCAGTGCTCTGTAGCGCCAACCAGAAGGTAACAGTTCGAAAAGAGAGTGGGCTGGGTGTGAGGGGTCCAAAGTGATTTTCTTAGCCTTTTTCCTCACTCTGGAGATGTAAAGATTTTTGAGGTTGGGCAGAGGGGCACCGATAATCATCTCAGCAGTCCTGACTGTCCGTTGTAGTCTCTTGATGTCTGATTTGGTAGCTGAACCAAACCAGACAGTTATGTTCTCAAACCTCTCCATGAAGTACCCTCAGCACTGCACATTTTGTATATCTCCCTATATCTGACACACCCACTTTAGGTCTTGCAGTCTCCACTAATGAGTTGAATCAGGTGTGATAGATGAGGGAGACATACAAAATGTGCAGGGCTTGGGGTACTCCAGGACAGGTTTGAGAACCACTGGTCTAACTGATTGCTTTTAGACAGAGGTGGACAAAGTACTCAACTCCATTACTTGAGTGAAAGTACAGATACTGCTGGTCAAATATTACTCCATTACAAGTAA